TATCTTGTCATCACTGAAAATAAAATCAATGGCAATTTACCAATTGACTTGCACATGCCTACATTCCCTTTTAGAAACATTTGAGTGCAATTTCCTCCTGCAACTGTTTTTAATTAAGTTTCCTACTTGTTGCACACAGTGATATGTGTTATGATCGATTCCACTTCAGTTTACTTTTCTATAACTCTGCTACCCATCTTCTCAACAAAAATATCTTCCAAACAGAAACTATCCTAAATCAATTACCAGAAAAGAAGCAAAAGCAAACAAATTTGCATTGGTCCTTGTTTTAATAGCCCATCAGAAAATCGATACGTTATACTCATATACATCTCGCTTCAACTTCCTCTAAGCTTCAACAAATCTTTGTAAAAGCCAGTGGGAATTGCAAATTAGCAGAAACCATGTCAGCTGACCTTTCATAGAGGAAGTCTCCAATCAACTGATACAGACATCTGTATGTTGTGAACATCCTTTCTCTTAGTAATTTTGCACAGCAACTGCAAACATACATCTCTTGACAGAAAAGATACAATAAAATACAGCACACACTGCTGACACCTCTTCCAAAAGGTCCATACTGTCCACCCAAGATAAATTGAGTATTCAGTGGAGACTAAGAGAAATGACACACAGATGGTGCGAAATACTACCTTAATTTAATCAGACATTTATATTTCATGCAATTACTGCAAGGAGGTAGAGAGGCAGAGGTTGTGAAAGATGAATGAGTCTGTCAAAAACAACCCAAAGATGCTCAACAGGAATAGAAAATCAAGAACAAGTCCACACTTCATTGCTTCCCAGAATCTAAAAAATACGCTTCCGCATTCCCTCCACTGGGTTATCTGAGCTGGCCCGTGACTGGGAAAGACGGATACTGAAACAGCTGTCGTGCCCAAAAAAGCTGAATCCCATTCCCTCCACTCTAGGGCACTACTAAGGCAACTCAACGCCAGTGGGTGTACCCTGATAAATAACACCGGACATGGTCAGAAATTACCCTATTTTTTAAATCTGTTTTTGATTCTCACCATTTGAAATCCGTCTTCTTCAATTAATCAACTGAATTGATTCAGGTTTAATTAGTAGGAGGTAAGACAGATGCACTATGGCAGCACAAACCCCACCTGCATAAAAATCCAGGACCTTAATTTAGTTCAATAAAGCCTCATAACCGGGACAGACTGGAAACCAGAAGGTCCTGTACTTTAAAGGACAAGAGTTGGGTACTAAGCTGGAATGGGGCGCAGTTCCTTAATATTCTGAGGAACATACACTAACGGCTTTATTAGTGCCATTTGTAAAAGTCACTAGTAAAAACAACACTGAGCTTGCACAATCTGACCTTGTTGAAACTCCCCTCAATTTCATGTGGTAAAGCAAGTTCTCACCTCCCGGAAACACATCTGCTTGAGAAGTGGGGTTGTGTGTCACAGAAGTGTGAACTACACCTACACCCTTAGGGGGCTTTGGAATCCATTGGGATAAAATGTAATACACAGAAGCTTACAATTTGGGTGACTCTTTCAAGCACCATATCATCACACTGCACGCTGGAGCCCTGGGTTCATTTCCAGGCCTTGTTGTGCGATCTACAGTACACAGAGTTTGTTTGTTCTCCCTGTGTGTGTGTGCGTTTCCTCCCACAGTCCAAAGACATACTGGTAGGCTGATTGGCTTGTGTGAAAACTGGTCCTGTTGTGAGTGTGTGCGTGCATGTCTGTGTTTGTGTATGTCTGCCCCGCGATGGACTGGCCAGCGTGTACCCTGCCTTGCACCTGTTGCTTGCTGGGATAGGCTCCTGCTCCCCCATGACTCTGAATTGGAATAAGCGGTTAAAAAACAGATCACTCTTCACCCTGCCAGGCACACAAAAACCCTGAAACGAAATTGATCTCTTAGTAATCGTCCCTCAAACAATCATAGGTAGCGCTGCCAAAAAACATCCCCATAAAACCATTAATCAATATTTTGTTTTCTTTGTCAACAACTGTTCAGGGACAAAAAGAAGCTTTTATCATGTCCTTTGTCAGTATTAAAGGTTTTCAGAATCTACCCCCCCCTGCTCCCCATTCAATCAGCCTTCATCATGATGTTTAATAGGAGTAATTATTTGGCTACCCAAATCTTTTCACCTCCAATCGGTCTGCAGAAGCTGCAGTTTATTAGTAGTCCCGGAAGATGTGAGGCAGGTTGCTGCATAGGTAATCAGACACAAATTCACAACGCGAAAGCCCTGAAAAAAGGCTCTCTCCAGTCTAGGAACACGCATGTGTGTACACGTATATAAACAGGTAAAGCTCGAACCTTCCATGTGTCTATCCAAGGTACAGTGAAAAGAAAGCAGTTGCTATAGTTTTTTTCAAGCTTTTCAAGTACCTTCCAAGAAGACGAAAATGCTCCGAGATAGAAGCTCTGACAGCTTAATAAAGAGCAAGAGACCCCAATCCCTCCTTGTACACGTCAGCTGCTACCAGCTGTTTTGTGACTCACCGCTCTTCAATCCCAGCTGAATTGCTGGGACTGAAGGAGTTTGGACATACAACCGCAGAGACATTTGTTATTTAAAAAAGTAATAATATTTTATGTGCAGAAATTAAAGTACTATACTTACTGTAACATCATTGAAACGTTTTGTGTCATTTCACATATTGGCACGGGAGCTTATACTTTTGTTTCATATAAATCTTTCACTTTAATGAGTGATAAATGATTGCGCATTCTTTATCCGTATTCTATTTAACACGTTGACGTGACTTTATCACGTGAACTATCTCCCTCACCTGTTCCAAATCGGCAGTGCAGCTCTGACCTCCATTTTTCATTATGGAAATATTTTCAGGGTACAGTTGAAATCTTTCCACACATTTCTTTCACAGTTCTTACCTGTTCCGAATATTTCCTGCTCATTCGGAGGAAGTTTGGTCCCCGTTGACTCGTATTTGTACGGTTGGAGCTTCGAAGTTGCCGGCGGTGCTAAGCGCATGCGCCCAACTGCCTCCACTGGCGGGATACCCGTTTCTTAGTAACAATTCATTGCCCGGATGTGGGTAAAAACACCAAAACGTCCCTCCATTGACTTGAACATGAACCGTCACTTTATTTTTCTTTTACAGTCTAGGTCTTTTTCTGCGTATTAATTTTCATTTGCGTTGAAATTAGGGCTTTCTTTGAGGAGCTAGAAAGCAGCTTTATTTAAATTCTAGGTAAATGTATTAACAGTATACCATTGAAATAATGCATTTTAGAAAATGTAAATGTATCTATCCCGACATTAAAGAAACGTCGATTTTAAAGGGGGATCTTTTTTCAGATTGTGCCCGTTAATACATTCTCTAGTTGTGCTATTTAATACTTCTTGAAATGTAATGTTTTAAACTTGGCTGTGGTTGAGGTAAGGTCTGAGGGAAACATTCACTTAGAAAATATGATGAAAATGAATTTGTTCCATCTAACAAATTAAGTCTTTCAACCACTTCAACAGGAGTGACAGCTAGGATACTATCATTTAAACAACACTGCCCCCTGCTGTTTATCAGAGCTATTATCATTGAAGATCCTGCAAAAAACGCAGAAAAATCTATGTAGAAATCAATCCGTTTTTTTCGAATACTGTATAAACTGAACTACGGATTCCCTTTTCCCTTGTGCCGCTGCAATTATGCTGCTCTCTTCAGGATAAAACAGTATCTTAAAGTAGGAAAAAGGATAAAAATTGACCTTTAAAACAAAGACCACACTCACTGTCATACCCATAAGCAGAGTAATTCTAAAACTGAGACTAGGTTTCTGATTTCGTTTGTTCTATGAGACTGCCACAGAAACCACCAGAGACAGCACATGTAGGGGCTAATACCGAATTCTGCTTAGTGTGGCAAAATCCACTCCTTGAAGTTGGTGTGGGATTTCTAGGGTACTTGCGGTGATTTAAAGACCAGCCTGTGACACCAATCACAAGGAAGTGAAAGACCATAGAGGCAGAAAAAAAAAGTTGTCCTTGCTCTCATTGCAGCTAATTCTGTGGAACAAAACACCACAGGATAGAGGAAGAACTTCTTTAGATGTGTAGTACATCCATTCTGTGTGCAAGGACAACACACCAGAAAGCAAAACTGTTCCGGTGACAGGTCCCCACCATCGTGCCCTGGCACAAGTTTCTGTCCTTGTTCACCCCAGGAAGATTCCACACTGGACTGGCCTTGCGTCGGCTTATACCAAGTCAACAGCACAGGATCTGTCCCCAACACTACTGTGTCGCAAAAGGATCTAACACTCATCCCAGGGTCCAGGGTCCTCTGCCCTGCTCTCACTGCGGCTAATGCAGCAGAAGAAAACACCACAGGACGTAGGAAGAGTCCCTTCAGATGCCTAGTACAGCTATCCCGCGTGTAAGGATGACACACTGGCCCCCCTCTCATCCCACACAACACGGTGTTCTCCTCCGGAACTGTCCCTGCCAAGGAGAAACAGCTCATTCAAATCCTGGCACTGAATGTACCCCGTTCAGCAAAAATCTCCTTTGTGTTCAGAGACATAGCAGCGCCACCTGCTGGGAGTCACGATAAATTTCACCTCCGTGTACAGCCAGGACCCAATTTGACCAAAACCACATCCTGACTTCACACCAAACCATCAGTCTTCTAATCATTAATGCTTCCCATACTGCAGTTAAAAAAATCTTTCATGTACCTTGTCAGGTGTAAATTCTGAAATACATCCCTGACCATTTTTACAACACCCCCTCCCCCCCAGAAATAACCAAGCAATCAAACTGTAGAGAATCATCACACCCAAAGAGATCAAATCTTTGCAGAGAATAAAGCACTTTTTCTTAGACTTGACACAGACACTGTCCCAGGGATTGTAAAGGGTTTTAACCTATAAAGGCAGTGTCTGTGGTATTTTTGGTGTCCAATTTCATCCTCTGATCTTTTATAACTGGTGATAAAGTTGTATAAATAAATTAAGCTAAAAACCTTAAAAATAAACTCCGGAGCTGTGATTAAAAGTCATTTTAATGGTCATGCCAAACAACCGTGAAGTATATTTTGCTATCTGCTGCGTGCATGCTGGGTAATGTAGTCCTAAGACACAATTTCTTATCCCTGACATTAAAATGACAATGCAGTAACACACAACCCCCCTTCTCTTAAACACAAAAAATAGCTGCATATAACCTTTCTGTAAAAATCTTTTCCTCTCTGTTACACATCTTTAGGTATTACGAAAGCAGCCTTGTTCCATCAACAGCTACTGAGTATTTCTTAAAATCTAGTGCCATTTTTTCTGAATCTTCCAGTTGTAGTCTGATATTTTTCAAGCACTTGTTGTATGAAGCCAGCTTAAATTTTTCTTTCAGTTTCTATCCTTTCTATTTTTTTCTCCTATGCACTTTATAAAAGAAGTATAGAAGAAATATGAATTATTTAAACAGGATTAAATGGTACCCAGCACTGCTAATTCCAGGTTTAAACAAGGATTTAATTGGATGACAACTAGGATCTGTGTTATAAACCTGGAACACTTCACTGGTGGTAGCACCTAAGCTTTAAAACAAAAGAAAAGAAATCCATGAGTCAGGGGTCTCCAGCTCTGGTCCAGGAGAGCCCATGTTCTACAGAAGCCATTTACCTATGACATAGGATATTATAGGTAACCTTTTCAATCCTCAGTTTCAAAATACTTGGACCAATTTGATTGCAACCAGATTATTCTCTTCGATTAAGGAATCCCAAAATAATCTGAATACCTTAATACTTGTCAGCCTTCAAGGACCAGAGTTTCCATCATTAAATGTTCTCTGATCTAATGGCCCCACCCCCCCCAGAAAAGGCAATTCAGAACAACCCATCAGGCTTACTGGATTCAGGCTCTCAAAGGCCCAGGCTGGAGACCCCTGCCGCAAATGGTCAAGAAGCATGACAGGTGCTTAAACACAGGCACTCGGAACAAGTTGCTCCTTAGACAGAGACGCATAAGGGCACGGACACCACACAGCTGTGCCTTAAGAGACACCCCAGGACCCACACGTTGTTCATCTGCGGGCGGATGCTCCCATAATGCCACACTCCTCTGGGTTTGATCCGGTTGCAGGTTCTTGAGCCCACACACTGCGGGGAAGGGAAGGGGGGGGAGGGGTTGGCCATGCTGAGCGGCTCAGCAGTAAACAAACAGTGTGAAAATGATGTCAGAAGCAGCAGATATGGGAAGGGTTTTTTTTTCTTTGAGTGTGGGGGGGGGGAGGGAATCAGGGATAGGGAGTGTGTGCTCCTTCGTTGGTTTTTTTTATCCATTCTTATTTTACCCAGGTCAGGTGGGAGGGGGAGGGGAAGGGGGAGACGGGGGAGAGAGGTGGTGTCGGTTGTGGTTGTTATATTTGGTGGGGGGGAGAGGGGTGGGGGAGTGGTCTCATCCCGTACGCAGGATGATGTGGACCCCCGAGTCCGTGAACACCGGCCCGCTCATGTCGCCCACTTTCAGTGCGAAGGAGGCGTCCTCAAACGGCTTCTGCATCTGGCCTGCAATTGCAGGGGAGAGAAATTTTTTTTTAGAAAAAAAAAAGATATACGTCATTCCTAATTCTGGATCTCCATTTCTGGGGGTTCTTCGTTGATCTCATTAACAGCGCGGCACGCCAGTCGGCCAGCTGAAGAAAACGGAGGAAGGCCGATTACACGAGCTCAACACTTCCTGCCAAAATAAGGACCGGCATCACCTGCGCTCCACCGTACTCAAGTTACTGATCATCCCCACCTCCTTCTCGGGCCAAAAGCACACTTGAAAATGCGATTGTCATTACAAAGTAACATCTCTATATAGATGACTGAGCGGGGAGCTACGTCAGCTTGCTCTGGCTGCAAAGGGACAAGTAGAGCTTAACTCCGCCCTGAAAAACAGAAAGAGGAAAACGTTTTGGCTGTCAAGCCTGAAGAAGGAATTAGCCTTCACATACTCCTACACAGACTGACTGTGAGCACAACAGTCCTTACGGAGAAACACAAAGAAGTCCTTGGTCCTAAAAGACCAAAGAGGGATCACGATCCAGCGTCACAGTTTCACTTCTCACTGAACCGCTGCACCTCTGCCGTGAGGCGTGGAGTCGGAAGGACAGCGACAGACAGGGACTCACCTCGGCCGAACGTGCCCAGGTCTCCGCCATTGCGCGCCGAGCTGCAGTCGCTGAACTGGGACGCCAGGCTCTCAAACTCCTCCTCCCCGGACTTGATCTTCTCGATGTACTCTGGGAAAGGAAAAAGAGAGGGAGACAGTAAGACTACGAGGGGGCCTGAGGGCCTGGAGAAAGGAGAGGAAAAGCAGAGCGACCTCCTCACAAACGCTGACATCCTCAAAACGGTACATGACTATGGAGCAGCGGCGTTTTATTTGCAAGTAAAAACGTGATTTCAGGAGACATAAGTAAGAGCTGCAGAGTTAAGAACACTCAACTTACTAAATGCTCACTTGAACTCTTTGACTTAGATGTTGCCAAATACTGATATGCCTGTGCCTCCTCTTTTTTGTGCCCAGTGATTTGTCACAGTCTTGCACTCTATTCCTGGTAATTCTACTAGGATGGCTTCCTCCAGAAGATAAACATCAAAAAGAAGAGCAACCAAATCTATTCCAGGGATTAAGGAAACGTCCGACACTGATGGGCTGAAGGAACTGTGGATGCTGCACATGGTGGTGGTGGACAGGAGTCCCCATTACCTGTAAAGCGCTTTGAGTGGAGTGTCCAGAAAAGCGCTATATAAGTGTAAGCAATTATTATTATTATTAACTGAACCTTTTGAGGTCTTCAGAGAAGACCAAAAAGGAACAATACAGACTTTCAAAATCTTCAAAGGCGTCAACAAAGTCAGCCCAGTGGTGCTCTTCACATTGAACAGCGAAACCCGAACCAGGGGAAGTGCACACAAAACCAAGAACAGGAGGCACTTCTTTACCCAAAGGGTGGTGGGAGTATGGAACAAGCTGCCCTGCCGTGCTGTTGAAGCCAATTCCTCTTGGCTTCTTGCAAGAAACTGCTGGCTGAGATCCATGGATTACTGGCTACTGACAATCAAGCTAGCTAGATGGGCTGAATGCTCTCCCTCTCCCCCACCCCCCGTTTGTAACTGTTCTTATGGCCATATTCTAACGCAGCGGGGCTCAGGACAGGAGTCAGTTTTGCTGTGTGCAGGACTCAAGAGCTGCGCATGCACATGCTAATAGGCGGAGAGGGCCCCGAGTCTCGGGCCTGGGCTGCTCACGGTGTATGAGTTCCAGGGCCTCCTCCTTCGTCCGGGTGACGGTCTCCTGTCGCCAAGACGACGGCCGGCGGGACTGGTTGTGCTTGACCAGCAGGTGGGAGCAGCGCACCTTCTCGGGCTCCCCCTTGCCATCCCCGGCCCCAGTGGGCCTCTCCCATTGGCTGGCGTTGGTGATGTGATTGAAGTAGTACACCCGACCTGCAGGGGGAGAGAGAGAACATCAGGAGTGAGCTAGAAGCCAGAAACCAATGAAAATAAGACCACTAAAAAAAAAAAAAAAGATATGAGGGCAGCCTAAAAAAAAGGAAGAAATACTTTTTATAAAGGGCATTCCAAGTATTGAACTCCCATACAGCTTTATAAAAATTAAAAGCTTCCAGAGTGCCCTAACACAACGACTGCGTGTAAGTGTATTGTACACATCAGTAACGAGCTCCCAGTCAAGAGGAGTCATAGGTAATGAACCGGACCTGGACCGGACCGAGTGATGTCCTCTTTCTCAAACTGTATTTTGATTACACTGAGTTTGTCTCCCCAATTCGGAAAGCAGGTGACTGGACTGTCTGGAAGCCAAGAGGCATTATCCCGCACGTCCATTGCGGTCCCATTGCTGCCGTGACGCAGAAGACGAATCCGTCAAAACAAACACAGAAACCGAAGGATGTGCTGCGCCCGACGGAAGGTCATTTCCGTCAACAAACCTTCGAATCGATCTTATGAGCCTGTTTATTACGGGAAAAAAACCGGACAGGAGACTGACTTGGCCTGGACGTTTGAAGGAGTGGGCGTTTTTGGCGATTTATAACCCCCGCCCCCCTCCTCCCCGTTTTCAAAACGTTTCCCTTTTCTTGTGTTTTCATTTTAAAAATGTGCTTAAAAGCAAAACCACAGACTCATATTTCCCCATCAATGACGGCTTGGCACAATTTTAAACCCTCTTTCGGCAAAGGCGCAAAAAAGAAGCTCTGCACCGTTGCTTTCTAAGCAACTCATTCGCAACGCATTCAAAACACGAAACTATCTCCTGCACCCCACAGTGCGTGTGAACAAACATTTTGCACGGCGGGGGAAATTAAAAAAAACATTATTTGCAGCCTTACTTAACAATTTTAATTGTGATCAGAGTCTGCTCTTCAGGATCCGAATGCTAGCGCATAACGGACTTTTTTTTATAAATAAAAAAGTTTACAATTTGGGAGCGCCCAGGGTTAAAAAAAACAACCAAAAAGATTTCCGCCCCTTTGTTATTATAATCTCGGTGAGCCTGGGTTTCATTTACCTGAACTGCGGCTCATTCGCTTCTCCCACCCCGCAGGTAAATTCTCGTCGTCTGCCATTTTCTCTGCGCACACCAGAGGCCAACTCCCCCTCTTCTCACACAAACTACTTTTATAACTGGCCGCCTCGAAAGTGACGGGCAGCTTTTCCTACCACCCTATTCGACAACACGGATAGTCGGGGGCAGTAAGGGCCGTCACTATTTGGTCTCCCAGGGAAAAAAAAGCCCGCGCCCGCAATGAATACAAACTACAAAAAAAACTACTGCATTGTGTTGTTCGCATTGCAAATAACTGGTGGTGCCGGTTCATATCTACTGGTGTATTGCCTTTAATATGCAATTTCTACGGCTTGCTTTTATACAATTAGTTAATTTATCTAAACACTATTAAAATTAATTTATAATAGTTGTATGTCGCGGTCTTTATCTGATTTTGGAAACAACAATATTGGCGAAAATGTAGTTATGGACATTAAGGTTTTTAAGAGAAAGACACTAAAGTGAAGCTGTGTCTGTGTGTCCGCCATGTTGGCTTCCAACTCGATACATTTTAGCATCTGATGGACGTTACACGACTGAGCCAAAATGGCGTTAGTTGCAATTTACCCGCAAAACGAGATGTTATTCACGTTAATCTAATACACTTTACGGCAGAAAACTAACATGCTCAAATCCCCGCCTTTCAGGATTAAAAGAACACAGGGATTGGCTAACATATACATCTGTCAGATTCCGAAAGTAGTCTATCATTGGTTAATGTCCTTTCCTTTTCCGTTTTAGAGCGGGTATCCTTCCTGCCAGTGTTGGTATGGTATTCTGTTATTTTTTTCGGTGGGCGAAGAGAAGTGTATTATTTAAAGTGGATTAGTTGAAACAAAAGGTAGATCTATTTTATCGCGATCTTTACAAAGTGCTGTCATTTTATAGTGTGTTCAGGACATTCCATAGCTAAGGAAAGTCTCATTTAAGATGTTCACAGCATTGTGCCGTAAAGTAAATAAACGTGCAGGTAAATTAATGTTGTCTCTAATTCAGATAGCGTCGAGGAGGGGGTGATTAGATCATGCATGACTGCAGTAGTTTCATTCTCATAGGGATCGGCATTGCGGCACAAGAAGAGTTGTGACGGCAAATAACATTCGTGTAGCTGTAGGAACTGCAAGCGTGTCTGTGCCATGATCCCAGCTGCGACTGTAAGCGCTCTGCGTCTTTATTTCCAGGTTCCGGCCTCGCAATGATTGAAGTGGTGTGTAACGACCGTCTGGGCAAGAAGGTCAGGGTGAAGTGCAAGTATCCTTGATGGCAGTAATTGCGTTAAAACAAGTGTCTCAAAACTAAAAACAAACGCTGACTGCACTATTTGTGCCTCCACTGTGAAAGCTCGGTGTCCTAACGCCGTTCAGTAAAAGCTAGCTTCCTCACCTGGAATACAATAATATATGTGATCTATCTAAAGAAAGTTTTATTTTTAGTTACCGCTTCAGTCTTGATGTTGTTCTTTCCTCTTCGGTTAATGAAACCAGTCTGTTTTTCCTTCAACCAACTTTTCCTCTTCGAACTGTCATATTTGCTGGTCACTAGTTTTAGAGAAGTTGTTTCTAGAGGAGGTTTGACTAAAAAGCTTATTCAGACGAGGCTTTGTGTCCAGTTCTGAAGTTTCCACTTAACTCCTGCGCCCAGCCCTGACGACACGATCGGAGACTTGAAGAAGTTGATAGCTGCTCAGACTGGTACCAGGTGGGATAAAATCGTCTTGAAGAAATGGTGAGGATGCTTTGAATACCGAACTGCAAAAAGCTGTTTTAATGTGTACCTTTAGGGCATTTGTGTGTGTATCTCAAGGATAAAGTGGTCTAGATTGGTAAATTGACAAGTACTTATTTATCCTTTCTGCAGAAAAAACAGGTCATTCTGTCACAGGGGACTGCAGTATGGGATTTTGGAGAAACCTGTAAAGATAACAGAGTAGTGAACACCTTATGCCTTTGTTCCCTATCAATACACTTGGAATGTCCAAGACATGTAAAAGAATGTTAGCTTTCTTTCATTTAGTGTAAGAAGCATATTAAATGTTTTGAAGGATGTCTTTTTTTCACCCAGTAGCATTTTCAATGCTTTGTTTCACAACTGAAAACATTTTTAATCCTGTCTCTTAAATTCTGTCATTGCAGGTACACTATATTCAAGGACCATGTATCGTTAGGAGACTGTATCCTTTTTTTTAATCGTTTTGTTTGAATGTATAAAGTAAAGGTATATCAATCAGGTTTAAGATGAGCCTCCCTGTTCTGAATAATTCCTTGCACTTTTCTGGACACTCCACTTAATGTTTAAGTATTGGGGACTCCCCTCCACCACCACCACCACCAGTGTGCAGCCCCACCTGGATGATGTTACAGCAGCCATAGCGTGTCAGTACACTCGCCACACACCAGCTCTCGGGGGAGGAGAACAGAGTGATGAAGCCAGTTCAGGCATGGGGATTATTAGGAGGCCATGATTGGTAAAGGAGGAATTCTGGCCAGGACACCAGGGTAACACCCCTAAACGTTTCAAGAAACGCCCTGGGATTTTTAATGACCACCGAGTCAGTACCTCAGTTTTATGTCCCATCCGAAGGATGGTGTCTTCCTACATTACAGTGTCCCCGTCACTATACTGGGACATTAAGACCCTCACAGACTGCAGGGTGAGCGTCCCCTGCTGGCCTCTCTAATACCTATTCCAGCAGAAACCTTAGTTTCACATGCAGTTACTGATCATGCTCACCCCTGCTTAGCTTTAGTGGTTTGCCAGTTGTGAGTTGCAGGGGTGATATGGCTGTTGGCATAATCCATTGGCCCAGTTTGCTGAACTAAATACATACAGCTAGCATTAGCATTTGGTGATGAATTTCTGCAGTAAAAGTGGCAAAACTATTATGTATCCCATTGAGATCAAATGCAAAGTAACTGTTATGGAATTGATTGGTTTAATCGAGTGATGGTTGTGCAGGCAGGGCAGGCTGGGTTCTTGCATTTTGAAAGGTCCGCTGAAAGCCTTGAGGTGCTTTTGCTTGCTTAATGAATACAGGCTGTTTAGACTGGTGAGCAGGAGATCCTAGGAACCCAGGAACCTGTAAAATTTCAGCCCAACTTGCAGCACAAACTGCACGTGACCATGTCAGTTTTGTGAAGCTTGCACACATCTGTGATTTCAGACATCAGCATTGGCACCTTGTGTCTTAAATGAATTATCCAGAGCATCCCAATCAAGACTCCTTAGTGCCAGGCTCTGGGATGAGAAAATGTTCAGTAAGGTTATTTAACAACCTTTGGATTTGACAGGTTGATTAACAGTTTCTATTGCAGGTTGTGAATACTTACTGTACATTAAACTAATTTAGTTGCAAAACATGACTGGGGATTTGCAAAGACTTATCAGATTTTTCCTTTGATCTATTGTGCAGCCTGTGATTCAGCCTCCATTCTGTTATAGTAGTAGTGCTTTGGTTCTAAGCATGTAAGCAGCAGAGCCCCATCAAGGGCATAATGTGCTTTTTTCCTTAATTTTGCTTCTCTAAACAGATGAAATCCATGATGGAATGAACCTGGAGCTGTATTACCAGTAGACATACTGAGCCACAAATTGCTTTAGGGATGGTAAAATTCCTCAGTCCTTGCTGAACTCGCAGATGTAAACCCTTTCTGAACATGCAAGTTTGTATTGAAGCAGCAAAGATACATTTTTTTCCATTGTTAATGATTAGGAAGTAAATTGTCTCAACATCAGGCTTTTGTTCTGCTAAATATTTTGTTTTGATATTGTTTTAAAAATAAAATCTGGTATTTATATACAACATGGTCTTTATGGACTTGGTTTGTCTGTGCTGGGCAGTGTTATTTAGTGGTTTTGTTCCAGCTACGTTCTGAATATCTTAATTAGAAAGCATTAACATGGTTTTGAGATTTTAAGTCTACCTATAAAACCTGCAAAGGAGTACTGGGTAAGCTTCTGGACTTATAATTGACAGGCTGGGTTCAGGTCTCTATTGCAGACACTGCTAAAGTGAGGTACCTCACCTCAGCTGTATAAGTGGGGACCAGCATCACAATGTGGGTTACTTAGTCTATTCAATGCTACAGGAATTGCAAAAGTAAGGCTGAGCTCCGTCCCAATGAAACGCTGTGTTGGAGTATGGACTTTACCTACTATATTATAAAACCTGCAGAAGTACATCTTGCTAGAATCAGGGCTGTAGACTCTGGAACTATTCCATATCTCAGGGGTTCCCCACCTTTAGCTAACAAACTGCTTAACTGGAAACTGCACTTTTATTTTACTCAAAAGGTGGGTATCTTTGTTACAAAGCAGCCTCTCAACATGTTTAGGAATCAAAAACAAGTTCAGTTGTGGAAAGGAGCGTAGCTGGAACAAACATCAGAAAGCATGGGGGGGGAGGGGGTTCCCAGGAACAGGTTTGGGGACCCCATCCATTTCTCTATTCTCTAAGTGGTAAGCACATAGCCCACTGAAAGGAAAGTGAAGATGAACCCAAATGCATCTCTGGCCTGTTTTCCACACAGGCAGACTCCTGGGTTCGTCTGACACTCTTGTAAATACAGGCTGGCCTCATGGTTCACAGAAACTTTAGACATGGAAGCTGATTGAAACATCTGGCATTATATTTCTAGAAATATAGTGAAATATGTTTTCTGTGGTAAAGGAGTTGCAGGAACCTGTGCCAACTTTATCATCTTAAATATCAGAATTAAAAAATCTGCTCCTGTAATACAACCTGATTAATGAGTGCTACATATACAGTTCCTATCAATCACAGACCTTTAAATAAATATAAGGGGAAAACAAATGCATCATTTATTCAATAAGGACATTACATTCACTATACGTGTGCATTATTTTAAACGGTGTATCAAGACACAAACCAAGAAACTGAGCACAAATTTGGCAACACAGAACGGTCTTCTGGAAATCAGACTAATGATGAGAGGAGATGAGCAATGAATTTCCCACGCTACGCAACCTGCCCCTGCTTTACCTGAGTAAGCAGAAATCTGACAGTTCCCTGAAGTTTCAAGCAAAAACTGTTCCCGTAAGTCACAGTCGTAACTGGAAAACGCTGACAGCAGCCACATTTCCTCAACTGGGACAAAAAAGAAGAAGTTGCAGGTAGCTCCTCCTTCGTCATCAATGGGGCAGCACTCTTCACAGCTTTCTACACATGCTTGCTTATGAAATTCACTGTTGCATCACCAGAGTTGCTACTGATCAGAAAAGCTGCAGGTGGCAGCTCTAGTGAAGGCAGAGATTTGCCCAAAGTACTTAAAGGTTTAGCACCAGCTTTGACGTCCATTGTTTTATTTACGTTAGCACTGGGATCATTTTCTCATCGGGATGCCAGCAGAATTGTGGTACTACAATCACCGCCACAGCCAAGCAGGAGTGGAAGGCAACAAGAAACAAAGCCAACCAAATAAAAAGGCTAAAATAAGACCATCGAAAAGTCCCCCCATGAAGGGCGCAGGGTCTGGGCTTTTCTCGAAAGACAAAACAAAAAGAAAATCAAATAAATAAGAGGCTGGGGAATGCCCGGGGGACAGTGTGGCTGTGCGGCTCCACTGGTGGGCGATGCTGGGAGTCAAGGCCCATACTGCCCTCCCCTCAGCCCCACCCCCAGTGTGGGTCCACTCAGTGCTTATATGAAGAGTCAGCGTGCCCCTGGATCGGCCACCCATCTGCACTTTATCTCAGGTTGTCAGGAATGTCAACGACGCCTGTCTGTCAGCAATAGTCGGAGTAATCCTCCTCTACGTAGTTGGCTGGGAACAGGCCAACCTGAGTGAAGAAAAAAAAAATTAAAGTCTGGTACTGCTGCCGTGGCCATCCTCCTTTGTGTTAATGTTTGGTCTCTTGCCAAGAAACAGGATTTCGGAAGAAAAGGTAAAGAACAAGAACAAGGAAGAGGGAAATACAGGAAGAAAGTGAATGACAAAAGGAAGAAATAAAGTCAAGAGTGGTCATTCTTACCCGTCCGTACACCTCTCCTTTCCACCAGCCACTGGGTGCTTTCTTGGAGATGATCTTGATAATGTCTCCCTCTCTCAGAGACAGCTCAGTACGGTCCCGTGCTGAGAAGTCATAACGGGCTCTGGCACTGCCGAAGTACTTCACACTGCCACCTGAAACACACAGCACAAGGGTGGAACCCACAATGTGCTCACAGCCCATAGCACTTAATCCACGAAGAGCATATAACATGTAGCACTTGTAATGGCACAGTGACACTCCGAACATGGTGTGCTCAAAACAGAATACACAAAATACATGTGCACACAACACATGGCACTGAATGCAAAATGAGCTACGTGACTACTTAATTCACAGTGCACAGAACACGTGATTCTCAATACACATTGCAGTAAAAATCACACTCCTTATTTACACAGATTTACTCAGATAAATATCTATATATAGGTGTACAGTATATTTAAATACAATGCAGCACATCACAAACTGTACTGATGAAACACAAAAATAAGGATTTCTTTCATCTGTGCACATCAGGGCAATTTCTCTCAGAATTAGGTACTGAGCACAAAATATCCAGCTCTCAGGACAAGAACCAGCACAACCAGGAAGGCCTCAAGCTCTTTGCAAAGGTGAGGGGTTTATTCCATCCATTCCTGGAATCTTCTGAGACAAGAGGGCCTAGCAGGGAGGAAGGAAGTGGGGGTGGAGGAGGACAGGTACCCACCTGGAGAGGGCGTGACACAGCTGTGCTCAGGTTCCTGGAAGGGAAATTGTAAGGTGGTATCCAGGTTCTTAAAGTACTCCTTCAGCGAGTTGTGCTTATAGAACTCCACCAGTTCCTGTAGGAAAAGAAGACAAAGCTCTAGATCTGCAATTCCAAGACTGAAGTCCTGAGAAAGCTGTTCTCTTGAAAATTAGCACCACTCCATTGAGTTAACCTGACCAGCATGGGCCATGCCAGGTTCCACAACAGGACTGCACACAGGTGATTGAAATGATCTGAGCCCAATTTGCAATGTGACCTACAACACCTGATGTGACATACTGTATACTGTGATGTGATCACTGTATCAATCCACCCATTTTCTAACCACTTTTTCCAAATCGGGGTTGTGGTTGAGTTGGAACCAATCCCAACAAGCAACAAGCACAAGGCAGGCTACACAAGCCTGTACAGGATGCCTGTCCATCACAGGACAGACACACACTCACTCCAGGGCCAATTTTCCCAGAAGCCAATTAACCTGCCAGTATATTTTTGGACTATGGGAGAAATCCCACAAAGACATGGGGAGAACATACTATAACAAATGGGGAGGGTACGAAAATTAGAGAATAACGGGAATGGACCAATCGGTAATGATTGTAAGGATTTCTCCAAGATTATACAGTACCCGAGAGGCACGTGAATTCTTTATTCTCTGGCATAACGTTGGTGAAAAGAGTTCAGAAAGAATTCAGGCAAACTTGGCAAACAAATATTTATTTATAGTGACAATGCAAACACTACACTACACACAACATAAATATACAACACACACATTTCCCTATGTCCATGACAAGTTTACAGACATGACGTTTCAGAGACGTATGTCTAGACCACCAGGGAAAACCCCAGACTGCTACCAAGTATTCATCTTATGCCTACAGAGGTCACAAGAAGACATAAGGTGCCTTCTAAACTAATAGATTACAACCTATGATTAAATCTCTCTCTAACCCAGATGACACACATGTAATGAGAGCCTATTTCCCTACTGAAATGCACCCACTAAGCAGGAGAGGCAGTTTTAAAATGAGGGTTTCTCCACTCCAGAGCTCCAAGCTACAGAATAGCAAGATCTCTTTAGCAAGACTCAAATACTTAGCTCTAATAGTCTTCTCGGATGATCTTCAACAAGGATCTCTAGCCAAGATTGTAGTTTCGTCTCCTCCTGTCTCCTCTTTCTCTTGTGGTCTGACCTTTTTTCCCCCTTCTATCTCTTGTCTTGATCTGATATAATATGGAGTCTTTCTGGACTGTTAATTGACACTTAATCTTTTACCCAGAACTTAATGGACTAACGTAAGCCAAGGTGAACGTTATGGTTGCTATGATCCCCTTTACATCCTCTTTGCTTTGAAGCTTGAAATGTTTACACTGCCAGGTGTTACACAATTTATCTAGATTCTTCAAGACACTTCCTAGACAACTTAACCTATTGCTGTAACAATGCAAACTCCATGTAAACAGGACCTCAGGTCCAGAATTGTCCCAAATCACTGGATTTAGTTCCATAATTTCTAATGGTATTTGGTATAGTGTAGCACAAAGCTCATTTAATGGTGTAAGGAAATCCAATACTGCATGCCACTTAACAGAGTGTGTATACAATGCATTGTAACTTAACACATTGTAACAAGCAAATGTCACTTATAACATTTTGACAAATCAACATGTTATCATAGAGCAGTACAGTGTGCTGAGGATTACTTGTGCATTGAAAAAAAAGATATAACAAAGGAAACACATTGACAGCTGGACTAAGCTGGCTGTATACCAACTCAACCAGAATCATGGAGCTCAAAGGGCAGTCAATGGAAGACAGAACAAGCACCTACTATTAATCCTCTAAATGCCTTCTTCTCATTAATGCGGTAAAGCCCCTCGGCTGTGGTGATCTTGATGTGTTTAATCTCCACGTTGTACCTGAGAAAAGAGGGGAGGTTCTGGTCAGTGTTGGGAAATGAGCCGGCAGGCATGTTCTGTACATGGTCCAAGAGATCGAATTTCACAGGAACCAATGCAGCCACAGCAGGGAGTCAGTGGTGCGAGAGGTGCATGTGCTTTAATGGGATAGCGGACAAATAGCCCAGCAACAAAAGAGAAATGGCAGAGAAGGCATCAGTACACCCAAGAAAAGATGGGAATGACCTTCACAGAAGACAGGATCCCATTCCCGGTAAAAAAATGGGAATGTTCCACTCCCTTGGGATGTCATAGCAAATCAGGCCATTCAGAAAGATGATTGCCCAGGTTTTCCTATATCCTATGTGTATTAACCTATATCCTGTGTGTAAAAGTATATTGCACTTCCTCTTTTTATACAGAACCTTGTGAATTTTGACAGTGGTAAAAAAAATTGGTTTCCTATTTTTCCTACATCCCTGCAGACTTTCTTTTGGAGAGCGGTGCACACTCTAACAACAGACCATTGGGGTCTGAACCCTGAACTAGCGGGAATTGCACATGGTAAGAAATTTGACGGAGGAGGAGGGTCTCACTTGATGCTGATGGCGTACTCCCCTGCATCTTTCTGTCGCTGCCGCACCAGGTATGTCCCATCAGATCGGCTCATCAGAAGAGACTCCGCCCCTGCCCGCTCCATGCTGCCCGCGTACCTGCCAGCAGACATGGCAAGAGTGTTGAGGATTCATTTTCTCCGATTTCTCATCCTAGACTTGTCTCTGTGCTCATCGACCTCAAGCAGGAGTGGAGCCAGGAAACCCCCCCACAGCCCAAGCTTTAATGCTACCGTTGCAAGTGTGTTGTCATTTCCAAGGAAATTTCTACTCACCAAGGGTAAAAGGACAGGTCTGGGATGGGCCTCTGTAAAAAACAGAGAAATTGCTTTGAGACCATTTGATACAAGTCTGAAACAGTTAATAGAAGTCAGGAAAACGAATGACAAAAGGTGTCTCTGTGCCTAACTAAGTTCAATCCAACTTCAACGAAACTGCGAACAGGAATGGTATGAATGTGCATGAGAAACTGGACTTTTTATTTAGCAGATTACCAACAGTGTGCTATTTCAGCCTGGGAGTATCTTTTATGTTCTAGTACTGTACTGATGATCTGCTAGTTTGAAACAAAACAAAACTGCGGGGTTAGCACAGAACTCAGGCGCATAGGCCAAGCTGTTTAACCTCTTCTTTAGGTCTTATTATGAATTATGAAAAACGACAACTTTCTGGAGTCAAATAATTAATAAACAGCAAACACAATTCATGAATCAGTTACTCACAGCTATGAAGGGCTTGACTTTAGAGCTCGGAAACCATCCTGCAACTACTCCTGTAGTGATATTCCTGCCCTGGAGTGGGGAGAAAATACCATTTGATTAGGTGACAACACTATTCAAGTTCCTCCCGAGACTTACAAAATAAATTATTTTGTCTTCTCTATAAATTCAATTAACAAATTGAACATAAATTAATTCTCTACATAACATATCAAAACACAAAAAAAGCAAAGCTCATCAGAGATCATTGTATACCTCTAAAGTATGGGTTCATATCAGAAGTTTTTTCTAGGGGACTGAAAACAGAAAGTAACATTGGCAGATGGTGGGAGATAGTTATTTCTGTGTTGAGGAGGGTAGGCATGGTTTCACAGAAGGAGCAAAGTGTAAAGTGAATGTGGAGAGCACTGAAGCGTAAATACACTGATTAGAACAGCAAGTTATAGAGCAATTATACTTAATTTAGCAGCTTTATTTGTGATAGCACCCATTCCGTCGGTACAATGGTTCAGATAAAAAAAAACATTCCAACATTAATGGGCCCCAGACTTAAACTGTTTATTAATCAGGCCAGCAGGGGGTAGCCTTTACACAATCTTCAGCTCTTAAGTGCTGCCATTGGGACATAAGCGATTAATTAAACAAATTACTGGAACTTGTAAATCATATTACTTAAGGGAAGTGCAAGTGCTTCCGACTGTTGTTGAGCGACAAGGTTACTCCATCCATTTTTAACTGCTTCTAAGGCAGGGTACACAGGATGCTAGCCTATCACAGGGCGGACACACACAAACACAGACACGCACACACTCACAACAGGGCCCGTTCTCCCAGAAGCCAGATAACCTACCATTACGTCTTTGGACTATGGGAGGAAACGGGAGCACCCAGAGGAAACCCATTTGAACACGAGAGAACAACAAAGTCCATGCAGATAGCACCCCGAGTCTGGAATTGAACCCAGGGCCCCAGCACTCAGAGACAGCTGTGTTAACCACTGCACCACCATGCTGCCAAAAGGTTACTAATATGGATTAAGTATTAGTATTGTGTAGTCACAATAATACTTTGAATTTGAAACCTTAACAGGAGCCACATGGTGCTTATAAAAAAAGAAATGATAAGGATTTATTCTCTGCAGTTATATGGTGCCTTTTGACTCAAAGGATCCCAATTGTCCATTACTGGGGTGTAAGCCCCACCTGGGCGACACAAGGCGGTGTCCAGCGGTCGATTCCGTACGACTGCCGGAAACTGCCCTCTCTCCAGCCGGTCCTTACCTCCCACCACTGGAGGTCAGCCTCAGCTCGGGTCAGCTCGATGATGTCGCCCAGGGAGAGGTGCAGTGGCTGGCCGAACGCCACTGGCGGAGGAGGCAGCCCATAATACTCGCTACACACCTCCATCTTGGGCAGACCTGGTGGGAGAGGGAGCAAGACCATCAGAATTGCCTGACTTTTTTTTGAAAATATCCAGCACCACCTACCCCTCATCCACGACAGTGAGGCTTCTGTTGGATTGCTGATCCCTGATCAAGATTCAGCTAAGAGACACCGAAAGAAAATAAGCCTCATTCGTTTGTATACTCGAACATGTGACACACACAGATTCTGACATGTAACTTCTCAATTTTGTTACTGGGGAAAATGCTTTCCAAAATTCCTCTGTGACACCTTTCAAAATACCAAAGAAACAACTATTACGTTATCTGCCTGACGCTTATATTCAAAGCTGCTTGCAACTGTACAGTTGAATGTTTTTACCGGAGTGATCTGAGTGAGGGGCCTTGCTCAAGGGTAAATAAGCAGAGACTGACCCAGAATTTGAACCTAGAACTTTCCTGTTATGAGTGCAGTACCCTGACCACTAACTTCGCACTGCTGCCTACGTTCAGAAATGAAAACAATCTTATTTCTGAGAAAAAGATACACCCACACTAAGCTTAGTCCTGGATCAAATCAAAATTTTGACCACCTGGTCAATCAGACATCACAGAATCGGGAATTAGCCAGAATTCATGACTCGTCCACAGTGGAGAGATGTGAAAAGCCTCTCGCAAAAAGAACATCCACTATGAAGTGACAGGGCGGTGATTGATGGAGAGATTGGCCAATGAGCCAAAACTTTGATTTGTACTTGCCTGTAGCACTCAATGTTCTGCTTTTCAAGCATCCTGTAATACACATGTGCCATTCATGTGAAATTTATGAATGATATATTACTTTTATAATATATATATACTTTTATATTACGTGATACAGCTGCTCAAAAGAGAAGAAAAATTACACCAAGTAGAGGTAACTTTTATCTGTGGCTCTGCTTTACATTATACCATTATATTATCATGCACACTGTACTACGTCAGGTTACAAGTGGTCACGCTCCTGCCTTCACTTTGAGTGCATACTTCCCAGCATTCAAAAGGGGAGTCCTCCCCCACTATGACCCAAAACCATCAAGTTTTCAATTTGGTCTAAATGTCAACCAAATGTCAGATAACAAGACCAACTCATAAAGTGATTCACAAAAAGTCCAAAACCGCCTGAATGGTTAAAATGTCACCCATTTACCACCTCGAAGAGGAAGGCCTTCCTCTCGTTAATTTCTTGTTTTCTTGGGATAAATTCAACACTTCTCTTTGCTGCCTGTCCAGCCAACTGCCGATTCAGGCCTTCATTCGCATAAGGTACGAAGGAGATTAAAAGCGAGTATTCCAAAGATAAGGGACGTACGAGACAATCATGGAACGAAACAGCTTTATGTGCACTCATATGTGTACCCACTCATGTTTGCACGCAGACGTACCCCATGCCGAACATGCCAAGATGATATACTAATGTGGACATGACACCCATAAGAAATATTCTGTCTCACCTCTAGTTCCCCACACATTCCCAATCTTTGCCTCATTCTTTCTAGACAGTGTAATGCAGGGGTCATTACACTAGATGCCCGTTGTCTTCAGACATGCACCTCCTGATATGGGACTTATCTCACCTCTGCAGAAGTCACACGTCTGGCTCACATACATGTTATAAGAGGTCAGTAGGTGCACAGAAGACGGAGATCATTGCCTGACACATATTCCTCAGAATGCTGAGGGGAGTGAGATGTTGTCCTCAGTCTCATGACCTGTTGGGGGTCCATCCTTGACTTGGATTATCTCTGTGTCCGCTGGTTTTTGTTCCAGTTGGGCGCTAAATCATTACTGCTAATCAGTACCCGTAACTTAATGCTTGCTGATGTAGCCTTTGTTCTGCACCCAGGCTTTGGGATTTCAGAACTACCCCGACTAAAGTTTATTTTCACCAACTTTCTTTCCAACAGAAGTTGATACAGTCTCTCATCAACCTGCTAATATGATTCCTTATTTCTGACTAAAAACAAGAAGCTCCATATCATTTACAGACCTTTCTCATGTTCTTAAAAGAAAATAGGTGATCACTTTATGAGACACAAACACAAGTGAAAATAATATGGCCAACACCACCCACAGTGTTTGTATTTTTTTCCTTCGCACCTGAATAAGGGAAGTTCTGAAACTGGGCTGATAGCAATTACAAACTCCATACCACGTTTTGAAGAGCTGAAAGCAAATACAAGAGTATGGCTCACTAAGAAAACTAAAATAAATTTCCCTGTGATTAAGAACCTGGCTTAAGAAAAAAAGAAGACAGTCACTGATAACTCAGAATCACTGCCACAAGTTAATAATAAACAATAATTCTTTTAAGGCACAAGGCTATTTTTTTATTAGAATTATGCATTGGCTAAATATTTACTCTTTTTCAGTACAGGACAACTTACAAATAGCCCTCTTCCCCTCCCTCCAGGTCCTTGATCAGGGCTCAACCTGAATAAAGCCTATAAATGTACTTGCCCATGTGCTTTTTTCATGAACAACAAGCAATGTTTAAAATACAAATGCAATGCAAACTATGTTTTAAAGTTCTCTCTTACCGGGGTCATTTTGTCGGTGAAGTGTGGCTCTGTTGTTTTTGTTCTGGAAGAGGAGAGGAGCAGTTTGAGAGCATGCCCAGTTTAAAACAACAGACACTTCAATCGATTTCAGTATTTCAGTAAGTGGATTAAAAAAAAAGAAATCACCTACTTTTCTGATTGTAACAGAGAAATCTGTAAGGACACACACAGACAATCTGGAGTTAGTTTAGCCTCACACGGGACAAAAACTGAAGTTACAAGATTGATTGATTGATAATGTATAAATGAGAACATTGCTAGTTTGAGAGAAAACATGACAAAAATAAATTAAAAAAAGCACCTGAGTTTCTCCCGCAGGGAGGCACTCTTCCCAGGCACTCCTTGTGTGCAGCTACCTTGCAGCGTGTGCAGCGATACCCCTGGAAGAAGATGCCCCTGGGGATCAAACACACGGTTTCAGCACTGCGCACAGGGTTCGGACATGGTCAGGAGGAGGGTACCCTGCTGGAGCACTGCAGGGGAACTTACAAGAAAACACTTTTACGGCTGCTGTTCACGTTGTAAGGGCAGGAATGATGAAACAGGCAGAAAGCTTAACCCAGGTCTAGAAATTACTTTTCCCGCCACATGACGCTTGACACAAATGCTCAGCTAACAGAAAACAGAAGCCAAGCCTTCGTCAAGGTTTTCTGGTTTCTTTTGGTTTCCTAACGTGCATTACAACTGCAGGCTTGCAGAGAAAAAAAAAGGAAGCACGAGATCAGATTGTTGGGGCGGCAAGCAACATCGTTTTCGGGCATCCTGTTTACAGCACCTTTTGTTTCTTCAAAACCACTTTTCCCTTTTTTCACTTTAATTCACCTTCACTCTCTCACCTTAAGAGCATCTGGCAGGCCTTGCAGGAAGTGGTGTCATCAAAGCTGTGCATCTGAAAGTCATGGCTATTGGCCGTGCTGTTTTCTGGGAATATGTTGGACCTATTGATGCAGGAAAGAGACCAACATGAGAGAAGTACCACACAGAAAGATGCATGCAGACGCACAAATGCTTGTTTCACTGGTTTTGTCCTATAACCAGGCAAGTGAACCGTAGCAGATTCCTGGTTCGGATATTTTTGGGACTTGTATAAACCTTAATCCTAAAACCACCATGATCTTGAATCCTTTCATTTAATCTAACTGGGAGACATGTCACATCTGTACAAAAGTGGTATGATTAACCTGCATGTTTGACATTTCCAAAATAGAAATGGCAAATGGCAACAAGCCTATTTCCAGTCCATAATCCCATATATCAGCATGTATTTAAATTCAAAAGTTATAACAAGGAAGCCACTGTCAGGTAAGACAACACTCACATTTTCTTGGAACTGTCTTCTTTATGTAAGGTTCACTCTAAAATATTGTGATTGCATCCTCTAATTGCATCCTCCAGTTCAAGGACAATTATTTTTAAGTAATGTGCAATGTCATTCATTTACAAATACATGTGCACGTGCACGACTACAATCTTTTTAACAGTACTGGCAGAAAGCTTCTCCCAGATCTAGATATAATTTTTCCCACCACTCAACACAAACAATCAACTAACAAAAAAAAAAACAGAAGCCAAAACCTTCAACATGGACAATTTTTTTTCCAAGCATGCATTACAATTGCTTTCTTGTCAAAAAGAAAAGGAAGTGTGATATCAGAGTGTTGGGGCAGCAAGTTTCTTTTTAAACCATGCTCATTTTGGGGCTTCTCCACCTTGAGCTTTCCCACCATGATCCTGTAGAGGTACAGCTCTTTCCTCGCAAATGGGGACTTGTCTCGGTCACACAACCATGTTCCCACTGCAGTCCCCAGTAGAGACAACAATCTCTACAGTTTGCATCAAGCAAAGGAGTGAGGCAGACTCTAGCTGGAAATGCTACAAGCTCACAATCTGCCAAAGTGTTACAGAGGTCAATCACTGTTGAAAACCAAACTGCCTGACTAGCATACTGCCTACTGGGAGAGTCTCAGTAGCAGTTATGTTAGTGATGTGACCTGAATTAATTATGTCAATACTAAAGAGTAGCATTGCTGTTTTAAAATAGCCTTTTAAAATTTCCTTACAGAGCCATTTCGAACTGCTCTAGCCATTTCTTCTTCAGCTCCTTGGTTTTGAAGAAGAGGTCGTAGCCGCTCTGCCCATAAGGGTCAATTAGGCAGAAAATGTGGGACCACTGCAAAATAGAAAAAGAAAGAGAACATTAAACACCTGCATGCCGATTTTCAAGTCCTTTTCACTCTGTGTGAGGCAATATCTGGTGATGTAGGAAGAGTTCCAAGACTCTTTTGATGCCCTGCAGGGGGGAAGATGCATTCTCTCTGTGGGGCTGGGTTGGGGTGGTGTGGCGGGGAGTGGGAGGTACCTTCTTGTTGTCCTTCTCCCCCGAGGTGTCGTCACGGAGCTGGTACTGGTACAAGTTGATGGTCTCCTTCAGCTCCATGGTATCGCTGGTCTTCTTTTTGCACACCACCATGGCCTTATCAAAGAGGAAGGCATACCTGCAAAACACGATGCACATGTGCACTGCTCAGATGTTACTCATAACATAGCGAAACAGTATTATTTAAAATAAAAGGAAAGGTCCTTTTGGCCCACCACGATGCTTTTTATTTTTCCAATGCTTCTTGAAAGTTCTGAATGACACAGTTAAACAAAACTTTATCCAAGGAAGGATCTCTTATTTTCTTTCTTAGGCACACTTGCGCTGAGCCTCTAAGTTCTTCCTTTAGCTTAACTGATTGATTGCTTGATTCATGCTGCTCAGAGATGCCAACCCCTTTAACAGGAAGACACTTGCACGCACCTGTCCTGCTTGGAGCGTTTCTCTACACCACAGATCTTCAGCTCTCCATCAATCTTGGGTCGACCATACATGGCCAGGGACTGTGTCTGGGAAGGAAACAGTCATTATGTTCCAGACTTATTCCTGTTACTCTTTTGGAACTTCATGGTTTTACATTCAGGTCCTGGCACTAATTCATACAGTAGTGTTTAAAGCACATGGCTCAAGGGGATTTAAACCCATGACCTTGAAGTCACATAGCACTCAGCAGCAGTCAGCAGTCCACTTAGACTAGTGGAGCATAATGGTCGCATCTGTAACCAAGGTGCAGACTATCTCCACTTTACTGAACAGAAACAGCCAGGTCCTATGGAATGGGTAACAGCTGTCCTCTTCTTCCAAAGAGCTCATTTGAAATGTTGATGAGAGTAGCTACAAAGATGACTCGGAACCTTGAGAAAAATTGCAGAGTGCTGAGTTATTGTTTCATCCAGCACAAAAGGATTCTGATGAGTCAGCAAAAAATCTGACAGAGAAGCTGGATGCACCATAGGCCCCTGCAGGAGGCCTTAGAGAAGTACTCATGTCCCTAGCCTTGCAAAATGGAGTGGAGTCTCTTAGAGAAATCACTCTCTGATACGCTCCAACTAATGCACAAGTACAGCAGGGTACACAAGTACAGCAGAGTTACCTTAAGCGTCCAGTTCCTCAAGCTGATCTCTCAAAGTTCTTTTAGCCGACCTTGAAAAACTACCCTGAGAATCTGAGGAGACCACTCTCCGTAGCCATTAAAATCATCCTCAGCAGACATCTGGATTTTGATAACCGAATGGTGCACTTGTACTTTGATGTGACATTCTACTCAGTTTGTTTTGCACCAGTACAGATAAAGTTGCTAGCCACTTCCTGCTCGATATATAGCCAGGCACCACAAGCCCTCAGCAAAAGACAAAAAGCCATACAAGCATGGTGATATGCTGCCAGTTTACAGTAGTGTGCTGCATTTTGTGAAGAGTGCAAAAGTGAGACAACAAGATCCTTTTAACACACTAATATTAAACAAGTTTCTAAAAGCAAGCCCCTTTGCTACACTGCAGCTTTGATGCTGATGAATGAATATGTCAGTGACACAAATGTATAGGATTGGAGGGATTAGGCTGATGCTGTGAGTTCAGCCCACAGTATGTGGTACCAGACAAAGACAGAACGAGACGATCAGCACACTCCTCCCCTCCACCCCTCTAAGGTCTCACCAAGTTTTCAATGGAAAGCTGAAATGAGGTGATCTGGCGGATGATCTCATTGTCACGCTTCACTTCGTTCACACACTGTGCTAGGTCCTGCAGGACAAGGAAGTGAGAGAGAGAGAGAGAGAGATCAGTGAGTCTGTGAAGTGCTATTAGCATCTTTGCAAATCTGGGAATTCCTACGGCCAATCCACAGAATTGAGAAATCAATTCTTGATGGGATTTATATTGAGGAGAACAACACAGGCAAAAGTAATCAATTTTCTTGTAAGATAAGTCAATATCAAAACAATATATGTCAAAACAATAAAAAGTATTACTACTGGGCTTTTCACCAAAATTTCTAATGACGTAGGCTGCTGATGCAACTCTGTTCTGTAGTTTTGTGCAACATTTGCTGCAATATTTTAAACCAAAATATGACAAAACTTACGGTGCTTTACAAAGAACTAGTATAAAGGGGGTGTGTGCATGGTATTTTCCAGTGCGGTATACATTTTCTACATTCTATTTTTTTATTTATTGCAGGTGGAATGTTTTATAGTTTTTTAATTAAGAATAAAAAAGTTTAAACATTTTTAAAGAAAACTCTACCTGTTTTATAGAACAGGTGCAGATGTGCCCAGATCAATGAGCCAACACTGTGATTACATCTGGGGACTTCTATGCTGTGAGTTCTCAAACAAACACAGAACACGCAAAGAAACCCCCTGGCCATCACTGCAGCAGCCTGTTACAGACCTTGTGGTGCATTTGAATCTCTGGTTTATATTCACAATGTAGTTTGTTCTGGCCCACTATGACCATGCATTGTACTAAGCAGTTATTAAAAAAGGATAGATGGGCAGATGGCATCAATGTTTTTCTTCACTTTGGAATTGCCAATTATTCCTTTTCAAATAATTCATCATGTTTTGAGCTGCGGTTTATAGCTACTATCCTCTGTATCCCCAAGCAGAGAGCGAGGATCTGCAATCACGCTCCCCATCATGCCCACATATCTAAATTGATTGTCTTTTACTATTCAGAGCTCTGCAGTGCCTGACAGTAGTGAGATGCTGTATAGAAAGCTATGACAGTCCTGTCTGATTAAACTCACACCCACCACTTCAAGGCTCCTTGCATTGTGAGCTATCACTTGGGGGATTATGGTCAAAGCCAGATAGTAAGTGACCTAGGCTCAACCCAGTAACATCTCATGTCCACATCGACAGTTCAAAGTCAGTATAAACTTTCAGAGCTTCAGACCAGGTTTTGAGGAGAAAGGAGGGGGTAGGAGTAAACGGATTAGGATGTCATGCTCGTCCTGGTTGCTGCTCTGCCAGCCAATCACTCAGTGCCAGTTTGACAGGAGACCTGGATCACCTGGAGACAATTTAGTACCTCATCCGCCTTAAGTGATTCAGTGATTCAGGGCTGCTCAAACTCTGCTCAGGGCTCCGTTATCAAGATGCATCCCTGAACCCCTTGATCTTATTTTCTCTGAGTCTCTGGCTCTCTGTTCTCTGTGCTTTGTTGGATTCCTGACCTCTACTTTGTTTCAACTTTGTTTCCATATCACCCCTCAGCTCGGCATCGCCACTGTGTTTATCTTGGCTTGGCTTCTTTGGACTATGTTTGATAAGATTTCCTCATTCTGCCTTGGACTTTTTTGGGATTCACTGGCTTTGATTCTTTCCTGTTCAGCTACAGATCTGAACTGTGTTCCTTCCAGCTATGCTACCATCACTGTACAGCTCTGCTGTCACAGAGTCCCCAGCCATCTGCAGCACCACTCACTCAGCTCTCCTGCCAGTGTGCAGCCTGCAGCTTGTCTGCCAGTGTGCATGCTTTCTTCTCAGTCCAGTACTTGTGTGCATGCAGCGCTGCTGCAGTTTCCCCTGACTGCACTCTGCCTGTGCAGTTCCTGCCTCATCTGCCTCTCACCCAGTGAATGGGTTCAGCTTATGACTCAATACGCTGCTCGTTCCACTAAGTTCTTCTATCAGACCCAGTTATGAGATGTGAAAAGTTAGTAGTCGTTTCTCTAACCGTTTTGGGATTCCTTCTGATACCTCTCTATCCTTCTCATTGTCTCTAAGAATTATTTTAAATGCTCATTGTTCATTTTTATTCATTTCAATGTGCTTAAATGTCACTGAAAAATTAGGAATTACAATTTTAAGGGGGTCATTAGAGCACTTAATACCAGAATCAATTATTTTCCAAAGGGGAAAAGATATTTGCTTCTTTCTTCAGTGCAGTACAGTATGGGGAAGCACAAGATGGCTCAGTACAATATAAGGATGTGATTGCTGGAAATGTTGACCAAGAAAAAATACACAAAGAGTCACCTTCATGGCATCCAGAGCTGTGCGCAGGTTTTCCTTTTCTGGGGGTTCGGTGGTGTGCTTGACCAGCTCCTGTGTGCAAAACAGAAAAGAGTCAGGGAATCACAATGCAACATAACAATATTTTACACCCCACCATCGTTTAGTGGAGTGTACAAGTCTTGTTAATGCACAAGTATTGCACAGATGTAAAAGGGTGCAGCTGTGTGTCTTTATGATGCCAGGTACAAACAGGGAAATTTGTATCTCTAATGAATACACTTTACAATTTAAGGGAGGGGTCACCTGTAAATATTGATCAATAAAGCAAATAATCGGTTTAAATGAATTTACAGGTGTTCTCTGTTGGATGATAAACCTTCTCTGCTAGACCAGAAGACAGAACCCCTACAGTATATCTCATTGTAAGCACCCTAGACTGTAATGCCAGTCATTAATTGTGCACATATCACCCCATTTTGCATGTTCTTAGAACTCCAACATATACACGTGTGTTTACCTGTAACAGGAGGTGATATTTGAGGACTCTCTGCATGGGGACCATCAGCAGGTCACGGAGGGAGAACCTGCCATTGTTTGCTCGTTTGGCGCACTCCTGCAGCAAGGAGCACAGAGAGAGAGAGGCACCGCAAGTCGGCTTTGAGTCCCACTTTATACAGAAAGATGTCTCACAGCGCGGAGCTAAACGAGCCGAATAGACATGCAGGGGGAGGCAGAACTGCAAACAGCACAAATCCATTGCCTTGATCCTTTCGTTAACAGAAACTGATGCAGAGCAATATCTTACTCCTCTGTTAAATACCTCAACTTTCACTTCTAGTTTTCAAGAAGTGGCGTGATGCCTGGTGTGTTTAATTGATCTTAAGCAAGATCAAGCAGGAGCTGGTTTTCTACCTAAATAAAATGACTTTATCTGTTAAACACATCAACACCTTTAGGTAAGAAGATAAATGAAAGACACTCAAAATACTTTGGAATCCTTTTCATCCATTTTTCAAAGATCTTACACAAACACAACTAGCTTGTATCTGGAACAGCTCAATTCAACTGGTCAGTCCTGATCACCCCTCTCCCCCCTTCACATCCACTGACCTCCAACTTCATCCGTACATCCTCCCTCATGCTGGCTATCTTGTCCAGGTGTTTGGAAGCTGCCTCCACTTGGCTACAGTACCGACCATAGAGCAGCAAACTGCAGACACAATCAGTCAGTCAATCACAGCGCCTTCCAGACCAACAGGACACAATCAAGTACACAGCATAATACAACACAATACAGCACAGTAAGAGATTAATTTAACAATTCACAGTACAGCACAAAACAACTCAACACTATATGACACAATGCAGCATGACACAGTACAATCCTGTATTGTTTTTTAAGTACATATTCTGTAGCACAGCCCACACTACAGTATAAAGCTAATCTAAAATCAAATTTTTTTCCCCAATATAAACTGAACAGCTAAAATAGGTTTGTAACTCTAAATGACATAATTAGTGACCTTCTATTGGAATTCTATTGGAGGGAGGCGAAACGTTATGTAAGACACATCCAGATAGTCCTAGAAGAGTAGTGTCTTTTCTTTTTTTCGATTAATACGTCCAGCCTCATAGGTTAAAATGGGTAATGAGCCTGCGGCTGTCATGCCAGGCCCCGAGGGGACGCACTGTTGTCCTACCTCTCCTTGTACTTGATGAAGACCTGGTACAGATTGGCTGCTCCCTGCATCATGATGGAGCTCCGGATTTCCTCCAGCAGGCTCCGATGGGTCTTTGCCAGCTCCTGCAACAGCCACGGGTGGAGCAGGTTAGTAGGTGCTTCCTCGGTCACAAACAATTTGTTGGAATCACAAATCCAAACCTCCCACACCCCAGTCTGATAACATGTTTAAACCAAGACTTCTGTTGTTTCCATCTATTCACCTGATCCACAAAGTGGCATTTGGGTCTCATATTAACCATTTGCCATTTTGTAGACAGAACCACACTGGGTTCGAGAGAACACTCTGGTTCTTTATGGAATGTGCAGACAGATTAAATATTGAGTCCCCATTGTGGACACTGCTGTTGTATCCCAGAGTGAGGTACTCTACCCCAGCTGTATGACTGGGGACCAGAGTGTGCTGGGGATAGGCTCTGTAATGGATTAGCATCCCATCCAGAGGGAAGGGTCTTCTGCTCTTTGTTCACTTAACACCATCAAAATCAGTATAAGATCAAATATGGATGTTACCTACTTCACCTAAAACAAATCTACATTTCAATTTGCTTTTTCGCTTTTTGCAATATTGAATAAAATACCTAAAATGTGGGTGAAAAGGTACTTCTTTAACAATTTCATGACCAGCTAACAACTTCAATACATTATTTCGAAATTATACCAACCCTGTATTCACAGAGACTAGTAGAGTAATTGGATTTATTTCAGATTGATAGTTTTCAAGCCATTTTTATCAGCAGGTTCTCTAATGATTTTTCACCTACAGCTTCCAAAAGGCAAATCAAAAACAACAGGTCATTTCTTGACTTTTAGGCCATTGTTTTATCTGTGAATCTACACCCTGACTTCAACAGGTGCTATTTGTCACACTCACTTTCACATGTTCAAGGACAAAGTTTTACCTCAATGTTGATGAAAATATTTTCTATATCTTGAGGCTGTAGAAATCTCTGAAGGGGTTTCATAAAGTGCTGCAAGAAAACAAATAAAAAGTCTACATTATAATAATTACTAATGATGAAATTTTCAGAGAACTCGCCACTGCACACACTAGTACATAAAGAAATACAATTTAGCATCTCTGATTATGTGAAAGCAAAGTAACACGTGTTCTTTTATCTAATAGGATGAAGAAGGCAGTGTTTCTCAGAAGGGCACCAATACAGGGAAATCTGTACAGTGATAGTACAGCTCATGACTACATGTGGACATAACATCAACACTCACTTCCCCACCAACGCCAGTTATGCACAAGAACAAGAAAAAGACTAGAGGAGGTCATTCAGAGAGTCAGGCCCATTTGGTTGTTCATAGCTCGCTGGTCCAAGGATCTCATTCAGCCATCTCTTGAAAGAAACCAAGGTATCACCTTGAACCGCATGACTAGGCAGCTCGTTTCACACTCTAACAACCCTTTGGCTGCAGAAGCGCTTCCCGTTCTCAGTATCAAGTGCACTTCCGCACAGTTTGCACTTGTGTCCCCTTGCTCGTGCAATGAAGCGGGCAAGACGGAGCAGCTCACCTGTAGGATAGACTCTAGCGTGTCGGTGTACTTCTCCTCCGTCTGTTTGATCTCCTGCAGGCAGCACTGCCTCTTGTCCACCTCTGTCATCTTGTGATGCTGTGGAGACAGATAGTGTCTGATTTACTGAGGTACACTGGGTCTTATTCTCTGGACAGTACATTCTGTTAACAGGCTTCACTGAACTACCTCGCTCTCCATGTGGGCTGCTGGCAAATGTATTCTATACTGTGACATCTTGCCAAAGTATTTATAAGTCTTTTATTAATGTTTTATACCTGTGAAATAATTCATTATAATAATACAATTTTAAGAGAGGAATACATTAAAAAAAGCATTAACAGAGTGACCTGTGACAACCAACCACTGTGGCAGACAAACTGTATGTTAGAAACAAACCCCAAATCCTGACTATGGCCTGAAGAGTACCTCAAACCATAAGGTTATTTGCAGAAGTATGACACTCAAAGTATGACACTTTAGAAATGTATTAATGACATTTAGTTGACTATGTATTTGGGAGGGCATAACGTAGTGAGTAAGTCTCTGGACTCTTAGCTGACAGGTTGTGGGTTCGAGTCACTGCTGCATATACTGCAGTTGTACCTTGAGTGAGGCATTTTACCCCATTTGCTCCAGTCCACCCAGCTGTATTAAGTGGGGACCAGCATTGCCAGGGAGAGTCATCCCTGTAAGGACTGGCATTCTATACAGGGTGGGGTCACATGCTCACTAGTACGTTGAACACCACAGAAACCAGGCAAAACTCCACCCAGGTGAGCTGCTGTGGCTTGAATATGGAAATTATCTTCCAAATATCTGTTTAAAAAGTGTAGTTTACGTTTCATTTTCAATTTATTTCAAAGGTAAAGAGTAAAAAGGGGCTCTTTTTTCCCAGATATTGTACTTTGAAGTATTGAGAAGTCTTTAGAAACATATTATCACTTGATTATAACTTACAGTATCTGCACTACTTATACTACTGTTATATAACACCTTTATTATTTGTGGAACATTAAAAAACATTTATAAGCAGTGTTTAATATGGAAGGCTTACATATTACTACTCCAAAAATGTGGAGAGGGACATATATTAATATATCACAGATTGTAGCCAATATAAAACACGCTCACATTCACATGTGAACATTATATTTTTACTCCCAAAAAAATGCAAAAGTGGCATTTAAATTTTAAGTCCAACTCACAAGGCTTTCTGGATGCTTAAAGACCCAACAGGCTATCTTAAATACTTTATTACGATTATCAATATGGGTTATTGCTACTATAATAATGGTTCTGTATTATTTGTATCGTTGCAGCCCTGAAAAGGAGGAATAATGCACAGCAGTAACTCCTGGATTTTCATTATAGTGATTCATGTTCTACATTCATCTTCAGGGAGGCTGAATTGAGTGAGAATGAGTCAAGACGATGAAAGAATTGTTGTCCTCTAGGCAGTGTGATTTCCTTCCCCATCACAACTCTGAATTTATTTGGAAAGTCCTCACTATTCATTTGGAATTTTAAAGCTAAAAAGGGCACTGAATTCAAGGTACAACATTATGAGCCTCCTTGTAAACCCTTCCATTTTTTTTAATCAAGCCGTTTTCTAATTAAGCAATTGCAGAACGAAAGCTCTCCTGTTACATGAGCTGGCTGTTCGGGACTCAGGGAGAGGGCTTGTGTCTCCTCACCGTCTCAGGAGGGGCCTCCGTCCTCATGAGGTCCTCGTAAATCTCGTCACCTTCATCGATGTCATCCTCCACGCAGTCGTACAGATCGTCATCATCCTCACCTGTATCACTGTGCAAAACAGGTACGCCTCAGCATTACAATCCCACAACCTGCTACTTAATTACAATGGAGAGGATTAATTTCTATGAGACAAACCACTATGAAGTTTTTCTACAAGATCTGGGATCCCTTTCTTGAACGTTTTGAAAAAGACTGACCTTAATATGTATCCCTGATTTTTTATACATCCAATCATTTTGTGATCACTTTTACCACAAACTGTAACTCTTATTATATCAATAAGAAAACTGCAAAAAAGCCTACGCAAGTTTGAGCTTTTTTTTCAGTCTTGATTGTGTTGTTTTTTGTATGTCTGTTTCATCATTTTTGTTTACCGTTTTAAATTTTCAAAAATCACACAACCTACATTCCGCCTTCAACTACAGTGCATTAAGCTTGCAGTGAAAATGATTTGGATTACATTATGCAGAGGTTAGATTTATCCTTCATGAAGGTCATCTGTCATGTTGTGTAGCAGCAGCAGTGAAATATGGCTGTGAGAAAGGTGTGACAGCTGACATTTTGTAAGGTGTGCTTTTTTCTTGTTTAAAATATTCCTTCCTTGCTGGATTTCAAATATATACTCTGAATCCAAATCAGTCATTTTCCTAACCCAATGTTTCAATGTTTATGAGGAAGCATAGGAAGTTGGTTGTATCTTGCAATGGTGAATCATTTGTGTGAACTTCAGAGTAAGCTTTAAGAACAAAACTTTCAATCCCGCACTGCTTTCCAAAGGGCCTTCACAATAAACTTATTTAGAAACTACACCAAAATGTGCAATGACCTTTTGCATCCCTACATGTAAATTAGTCCCACACAAGCAAAATTGTTTTAATGCGTAGTTTAAAACACGGTCAAATTGTACCATAATTGCACTGTTAATAGAAATTAATAAGCTTGTGAGAACAGATTGGATGGCAGGTGACAAAATGATATTTTTCACACATGGCCTCCTATCTTGAGTCGCAGTCAGCACTTCCTGTACAGCTGTGTCACGTTTTTTTTGTTTCCTTTTCTTGTACAGAAATATTTCTGGCTCAAATGTATGCCTCTGCATGTTCAAAGGCTCTTCATTTTTCCTTAGGTGTTGCTTTTTGAAATCAGAGTTATAATTCAGCTGTAAACAAGCAATGCATGTAAACATATCAAGGTGCAAGACTGAAATTATCATTTCTGCTTGTCAAAATTATTGGGATCTCCAGTGAAAAATAAGTACTACAGATAAAGGCATTTCATTAAAGGTGATCATGATTAGAGATGTGGATTCACAGGATTCCCCTTGGGGATAATAATAAATAAAATGGCACTTACTCGATCTTATCTGAGAGGCCATTGTAGATCTCCTCATCTGGGACGCTGTCTTCACTGGGGAAGGGCCTGGAAGGAGAAAGACATACATTTTTCACACAGAAGGGACAGGAAGATTTCTGCACCATTGAGTACAGCTGAAACTTTTTTTTGTGTACATAAGCTACGCTTTATGGCCTCTTCTTTTTAAGATGTTTCTCATGGAACAATATTTAAAATATTTATTTTTTATTGTTTATGGGGGGAAAGGGGGAGTATTTGTCAAAAACACTGTGAGAAAAGTGAGATCAGACACACCTGAGTTCACTGTACACCCATCAGTCTTTTTCAGTTACCAGATTAACGGGTGTGTACTTGAAAATTTGGAATGAAACAACTCAGGATAATCTGTGGTATAAACATAGCAGCTATAGTATTATTCAACACCACTGCTTGTTATTAATTGTGTGTTACTATTAACAGTAAAAAAAAGGTAAAAAGTGCTGTACTTACAATATTCCACGATCTTGTGCGATGCTTGTGTAGGAGAGACTTGATAGTGTATCGATTACCTGCAGTATAAAGATGTGTGTTAGCTGTAGCACTGACCAGGGGCACGTAAATAACTTACTGTTGTAGCTGTGACATAAATGGTGCTGATCTGTCTACACGATTCACCAGAGGGCGATAAACAGCATTACTTAGGAGCCATTTTGCTATTTTTTTCAGGTCTTGTTTTGCTTTTGCAAACTTTTGAATAATTTCACGGACATGCAAATATTTTGGTCTTCTTTACCACCTTCATATTGTACTTCCGTTCTAGCCTGCACTGTCTGAGACAGTGCCGCTGTAGAGGTGATGCCAAGGACACCACTGATATCTGTCTCTGACTTTCTAGTGGCACTGTTCGACACTGCAGTCTTGTACCCAAATTTACAGCTCATTCAAAAGCACAACTTCTACCGAGATGTAAATAAAGATATTTTACTCTCTGTGTCTGCTGGGACCTACTGTAACTGCTGTGCACTGTGATTCAAAGCTGGCCCTTCGGCCACCTCACATATCACCTAAACAGCCCTGAAATTTGCATTCCCCTATCAAGGGATAGATATGATTATCAGCATGAAAAGGTCCTGTGGTACAATGACTGGCTCTTTGTTACACAGTTCTGAGATTTCAGTGCTTCCTCTTGAAATATTCCCACTGAATGAGGATTTGTTTTTCTGCATGTTGGTGGAGTTAATGTATTGTCCAATCCAGTAATCCTGATGACAGCAGCTGCATACAGATCACCAGATTTCTCCTGTATGGTCGTTGTGCCTGCTCACACCTTTGTGCTGTCTAGTCATTATCCTAGACTACTTGGCCTGTTTTATCCATGCACAAAATCTAAACAAATTAAAAAAAACAATCAAAATACACTTCACCTCGTTGAAGCAGTTAACACCTAGCATACAGGCTACACGTAACATTACAACAACATTCATTACATTATATATATATAGGATGTTTTTGGAGTAGGAGATAATGTTACTGTAGGAATATTGTTTGGGTTGTGGTTAGGGCCATTATGAATACTCATCTGTTAAGGATTCATGCTGACTACATAACAATAAAGTAAAGTAAAGAGATCAACTCAACACATTTAATTACAGTGCCATCTGAAAGATGCTTTTTTAATCTGCTAGTCCATTTTAGTCTGCCTGTAATTAAGTTGTCTTCTTTGGTGCTAGTTTGAATGATACTCATAAACAAGACAGACATTAGGGCCCTGCCTTGCTTTTTAAATGCTGTATTTCAGGTTTTAGAAAGGGTTTTTCAGTTGTAATAATTCAGGGAGCATCCTGATTTACTCATTCTAGCCCCCAGTCTAGCACAGGGCTGAGATTTTGACAACCTGATAAGCAGAGAGAAAGAGTTCTATAAATGATTTGCAGATGCAATTTCACAAAACCCCCATTCATCCACTTACAGCCAGAATCAGTCAGTTCCTTTAATGACTGCAAGTGGTCTACCCAGATCTACTGATAACAGAAGTTGAAATGACTCTTCCGAGGCTTTCTAGTTCCCTGCTTTGCTGATCATTAGTTCCACATTACATACGCAGCTCAGACCGAGAGGTCATGGAGACCTCAGCTGTTTGCCCAGGTAGAGATGCAATGCCAACGTCCTTGTTTTAGATGTATTATTCAGTTTAATTTTAGTATCTAAGGTACAGCAACAGTTCACATATTTCCTGTTCCATTTAGTTTTTAGGTGACACACACCCTGTTATCCCATTTCCTGGGTCAGTTCTGCTGACATTCCCTCGTGTTGCAAGCACAGATTCTGAAAAAATTCACAGGGAGTGAAATACATGCCACAGTGTGTTCTGGCGCTCAGTTGTGCAACACTTTTTTAATGTCCTCTTTTTACTTCCTGAATAAAATTTAGGAAAGAATACTTTATCTTGAATTGATTTTCAGATTCATTAATGTATAAGCACTGTATACTGTATGCACATACTGAATGTAACAGTAACACAGCAAATCCAAACCGAAACACAGAGAAGCACCAGAGATGTACAAGGAAAGAAAGATTATCATGCACTTTTTATCAGTCGTTTGTTTGGGTTGCCAGATGGAATTATGTAAAGACAAAAGGTTACAGACAGACTGATATTTAAATAGACAATATCAGGACTTCAATCGATAGCCTTAAGGACTAAAGCCGCCTAACACTACTGGCTATATTAAAGATGGACTCAGTCAGATAATGTAATGGATTTGCTTAAAATGAAAGGATGTGTAGCAGATGCATGATCACGCTGCATGGTCACTAGTTGAATTTTCTCTCTCACACACATATCGAGTCTCTTTTCCACTTCCAGGGAGAATGAATGTTACAGCAAAGTCAAATTTCAGGTTTGTCTGCTTCAGAAAAAAAAATAATTTACCATTTTCCGTCCAGACCATTAAAAAGAAAAAACAACCCAAACAGACAAAGCAAAATTGCTTGGAAGCCATGGTGGCTCCTAAGGGTGAGGGACAGGCTGCTTGAAGGCACTGTGTAATCTTTTAATTTCTGTTTCCTTTTTTATGCCTCATTTAAATTGGTGTGACTTCTGATATTGCTTTTTCTGATGTGAATTAGTTTCAATTTTCCCAACAGGGAGGACCCTGAATCACTCCTTATCTTATCGTTGGCCAGGGACTCTGCATTTCCTAGAAGCTTCTGGCAGAGCTGCAGCAACCAGACCTGGGGAACCTGACACCCCTCAACCGCATGACTGTATTCCAGCGGGCGGGATCTCTGGTCAAGCAATCTGGGCCAGTTTCAAAATCGCGCCCAGAAGTCCTGAATCTTACAGTCCCCCACGTGCTCCCCATGTGGAGTTTCCCACAGCCTTAGCCTGTTGTTCGCTACAGTGTAGCTTGCCCCACCGATAATATACCAGTCAACACTGCCATTCAAACAGCACCAACACTACTGGAGACGTGCCAAGCCCTGGTCTTGGTTGCAGGCTAAATTCAGACTGTAATGCCAGTGGAAAGGGCAATTAAAGGCAAAACAATTCAAGGTAAAGAGAGCCACCTCTGAGTGTGGCCCAGTTAGTCCTAGGCACAGACGCGGTAAATTGTGGGGGGGGCAGAGGTTCCGGGAGCTGGTTTGCATACAGCAACCTGTGGTATCTTTCCGATGTGACTGTCCGGGTCTATACAAATTATGCAATGCACCTGCCACCATAGGAGTTGTAAATGCAACAGCACTCCAGAATACACAAAGCTGAAAAAACAGAAGGAGGGATTGAAATTCTCAAATGAAATCCAGCCTATGTATTTAGAATGACATGTGTTTGGGCTTTCTTATCCCACTGACTCCCTACTTACTACTACTTAGCCAGCAGCCATATCACCCTGCAACTCACAACTGGCAGCCCACTGAAGCTAAACAGGTGTGAGCCTGGTCAGTACCTGGATGGGAGACCTCCTGGGAAAACCTAAGGTTGATGCTGGAAGAGGTGTTTGTGGGGCCAGCAAGGGGCACTCATCCTATGTGGGCTCTAATGCCCTAGTACGCCTTCATGGGCACTGAGCTAGCCAAGGATCCCAGAGTCTCACCTTGGCGAAATCCCGGACATCAAAGAGGTCGAAGGCCTCAAACAGCTCGTTCTTCCTCATCCCGAACTTCTCCTGGCAAGCAGTGAGGAATGTCCGGATGTTCTTCAGACACAGGAACTGTGGGGAAAGAGGGACACAGAGCTGTCGATTCTATGGAACTTCAGTAGAAGCACCAAGGCTAGGATATGAAAAGAAGAATATTTAACCGGAGAAGTCCTTTTAAGATCAAATACTCGTTGCAATTCTTATGTTGGATGTCCATAATGTAGTGGTTATAATGTTCTCTTCACACATGATTTGAAATACACAACTCTTTCAAATTTAAAACCAAGATCATAAACCACTTCTTTATACAAAGGTTGGTGGAAGTGTGGAACAAGCTAGCCCGCAATGTGGTTGAAGCCGATACCCTGGATTCCTTCAAGAAATAGGTGGATGAGATCCTCAGATCAATTAGCTACTAACTACCAAATAAGAATGGCTTACTCTTGTTTGTAACCTTTCTTATGCCCTCACCCTTTGAATGTTTTGTGAAAATGTGAAGGGGCATGTCTGATGTGTCAGTAGCAGCACATTTGTTCACAAGTGTGTGTCATGTATACTCTGGGTAGTTAATCCAAACTTTGTATTAAGAACTGCAATAATAACTTCCTGTTTTCCAAACTTTAGGCAGCTTTAGCATGATATAAGATGATAGGTACTGTACTTTCAGATACATGGGAGCTGCCGGAAGTTCTGAAAAAAAAAAACAAGCTGTCGTGTTAAACCTCAGCTCAAGTTCAGAGGAAGATCAGAACTGTGTTTTTTAGGCCTTATCGGAATCCTGCTTTTCTATCGTAGCACTTGCACATTATTGCCTATTGTAATCTGTCTTTAAAAGCCACATTATGATCGTGTTCACTGAAAAATATGGATTGATTTATTGATTGGGGTATTGATGAAACCCATCGTATGTCTTAAAAAACAAGAAACCACCATAATCCTACCTTTTTTATAAATAAAACTTCCTCAAGAGTATATTTTCACCATGACTACAAGTCATTTCACAAACAACAAAAACATTTCCGAAGATTGATTGTTCCTCATAAATAGAAAAACATTCGGTGCAGCTTCTTATTAGTACTCAACTTCATCTATAATTTTTTAACCCTTTGTACCCGGACCCCGTCTTCTAAAAGTGTCAGTTTGCTCTTAAAAAGAGGACACATCATGAGAAGCAAATGTAGGAATGGAAAGAAAATGAACAAAATTAAAATACTGGGAGCTGGTAAGGGTTTGACCTTATTGTTCACAGGAACAATAAGGTTGTATTGTGATCCTACAAAAGAGCAAAATTATGCTGGACAATTGAATATGTTGAGAAAAAGGAGTTTGCTGTATATAGGTTTTCTGAGGGGCTTCACCACTATAGGAATGAAAAATGTGTATTTCATATGTGGGCTTTTAAAGAGAAGACCACAGTGCACAGACCAGTCTCATGCTTCTCGTGCTTATAGCAGGCCACACTCTGCAGTGCTAATGTGGTTGTGCTTCCACACTTGGGGCCTCTGTGAGTTAGATACCTTACCAGAAATGCAAACCAACCGCTTCTTGCTAACCACACTGCTCACTGAAAGGGACTCACCCCACGTCGGGCCGAATCTCTCTCAGCTGTCATGAGACAAATACATGTTTCAGCAACCACTCTTTTACCAAAGGTGTTGGGCAGGCCAGATGAGGCTTGATCAGACCGTGGTCTCCCCTGGCTGGCCTTTACAAAAAGCTTGCAAGGTACTTCCTCAAGCTATTATCACCTGACCCACATTCAACACATCCTCTTTCACCCCCCACCCATCAATTATGCAAATCTTTTGTGCTTGAAAGTCAACAATCCAGCAAGTGAAGCTACCCAGACAAAACACCAAGCACATATGGATTACACCCTTACACATCAGAATTCGACAGCCAAACCTCGTGCACAAATGCAGGGTCTATGTAGATGGTCTTGAAAGCAGAGTGACCTTTCAACCATAGCTATAAAAACAAGAAAGTACTTTGATAAAACTGGACACCTGCACTATTGTTGATATTTTTTTATGTGTGCACTAGAGAGTTTAGTGTTTAATGTAGTTCAGTGGAAGAGTGATTGTTCAGCCCCAAATTAAAATACAAATTAGGGAATTTATTCCCGTTTGAGGACACAAAATGTTCAATTCATCCTACACCCAGAATCCTGGTGCTTAGTGTCAATCGGGAATGGCTTAGGAAAGCTTTCCTCTTTCTTCCTGCATCCCTTCTGCTGGCTGTTCATGAATTGTAAATTAACAAAGAACACCTGCAGGGTGGGAAAAGAAAGGAATAGTCAATCTCACCTCTTAGGTACTGAAAACAGGAAGGTTTTCTTTTACTGTTTTGTACTATCTGGATTTTTTAACACCAGATTGGTGGAAAGTAAGAACCGAAAGAAAAGAATGACTCTGTCATGCAATCCTGTATCCATTTCATAAAAGACATCCACTGAAATTGATGGTTTAAAGAAGGTTTTTAATCCATGACAATTCATGAACAGGACAGACATCACAGCTGTGAAGATGACTTGCAAATGGCGCAAGGAAGCAGAGCAAGCTGCAAATCAAAGAAACTCGAACTGCAGATAAAGATCAAGAAGGAGAAAAGAAGTACTGGATAACAACTAGAGGAACTGGTACATGTGCCACAGAAGTGTGCTCACTTCAGAACTGCAAAAGCAAAACACATTATTATACTGAAAAGGTTGATATTTTCATGCACTACGGCAGCATACTTTGTACAAATATAGATCTATGTCTATTTCTACAATGAGAGGCAATAAAAAAGCCATGAATAATTATGGGAACCAATACCATCTTGCATTCTTATTGACTCGGGAACCCCTGGACCTCTATTTCTGAATGTCCTGAGAAAGCACCTCAAGGAGCTGGAAAAGACTACGTCTCTTGAGAAGCAGGTGAAAAGGATGGAAGGAGGAAATGTTTCTGCACAGCTATACAGCAGAACTCCTGGAAGAGAGCCAGAAGAAGACACTGTTACTATAACTGCCTGCGCTTACTGTAAAGTGAAGCCATCGGGGGCTCTGGGCGGAGGCAAAGGTCTCACAGAGGCAAAATGTCACATTACCTTTGAAAAGCAAGGTGCACAGAGTCAACCACTGTGGTACACACACCGTTTTGTGCAGAAGAAAGATCAGCTCTATTGTGGGACTCAAAGCACAAACATTGAGCTTTTCAAACTGAACAAAGATCAAAATGCCACCAGCTCGCAGGAGCTTTCATTAAACAGGCTGCAACAGATTTTCATCTCCTGTTTTCTGAGATCAAATTCAAGGTCTTGTTTTTTAACCAACTAGTTTGTTTGTAAAAGTGCTTTGAGATGGTGTGCACCATGTGACGAAAAGTGATGTCACATCAAAAGTGGTTTTGACAAACTAGAAGAGGGCTTCTTCACCACTTGTGGATCGCTTGGTTTGAGTGTGCCAGGAGAAGCTTGTGGAGATCAGGAAACAGAAACAGGGAAAAGAGGGAAGAACATGTGAAGAGGGAAGAAAATGTCAGTGAGCAGGATCAAATTTAGGTTTGAACCCCAGAATACTTGACAGCCCAAAAAGCTCGACAATACAAAAACAGTACAAAAAACAAAGACTTTTCAATTTGCTGGCCTACAGCTGTTGCCTGTGCAGTTAAGTTAGGGGGCTCAAAATGCTTATTAAGTTCATCCCTTAGCTATCTGCTGAAAGCTTACATGTGGAACTCACAAATGTGTGCATGAGTGTGTGAAGTCACAGTCAAACTATGAGTCCGGAAGTCAAACTCAAGCCACAGTACTGTTAAAGGTTACGAAGGTTGGCGTAACAGACGCAGCACTTTGTTTCAACAAGAAGAGTCTTTGCACAGCTTCCTCTCTCTGGCTGTGTGCGCTGAGGAACACAAGAATGTCTGCAAAATCAGTTACATAACTGAAAAGGACCACTTTGTGTCCCCTCTCTGGACCCTGTCCTCCTCTGTCAGGACATTCTCATGCCTTTGTGTTCACTCGCTGCTTGCCTGCAGGAGCTGCTGTTTCAAACCTTGCTGTCAGTGTGTGTCGGGTAGGTGGCAGAGAAAAGGGAAGCAGTGTTAAGACACAGACATCCAGAGCAGAGATTTCACGTGGGCTACTGTGCGGAGCTATATCTGTCCAAATCAGGAAAGAGAGGCGGAGTCAATACAGTTAACATCACGTTACAGACACACTACGTAATGTAAGTCTTTAACATCAAGTATCCTCCTGTAGCCAGAATGGATGAGACAGCCAGTCTAGTCTGACCATTTCCTGAAATCTGCTGCAGTCACACTTACAGACACATCAGAGCTGTGCAATGCTGAGCTGCCCAGAGAAACTCCTAGTAATTGCCCCTGCTGCCTCGACAGGGCACATGGGGTTTGCTAGATGAGGTGATGAGGTGGGGCCTAGTAATTCTAGAGAATGTGAATTATGCTAGGGTAGATGCACACCACTGCTCTGGAACATTGATCAATTGGTTGACTGATTCAACACTTACATGTGGGTGGTCATGACCCCAGCTGAGAATACAGTAAACAGCTTTTGAAAACTGGATGAATGGATGAAACTGGATGGTATTTCAGTTCTGTTCTACTGCTGAACTCACTGTTCCTGCACCTATTAACACTTAAGAATTGGTACAAGGTCTTTTAGGGGAATGAAATAACCAATGACTGCCTACTACTCCTTTGAAATCCATGCCTTTTGTTCCCCCCATTTTATTTGCTCTGTTTGCCTATGGCTGAAAGGATCCAAACTGAACCTCATTAGTCTTGAGTACACAAGAGAATGAGGTGACCCAATAGAGGTACTGAAAATCCTCAAGGGTGCTGACACAGTCAACCCAGTGGGTTTCAGGGTCAGCAGTGAAATGTGAACCGGAGGACACAAGTGGAAACTACTTGTAAGTGAATTTAAAACCGAGAGCAGGAGGCACCTCCTTGCCCAGAGGTTTGTGGGAACATGAAAAAAGGTACCCAGCCATGTTGTGGAAGCCAGTACTGTGGCTTCCTTCAACAAAAAGGTGGATGAACAAACAAAAAGTGGACAGGCCTGTGTTC